GATTGCACAGATGTAAGTGAACAGAATTGCAGTAGTGCCAACACCATACACTCAAAAATCATATGTTACATATACAACTACAATTATTGTTAATTTATTTTTTTAAATAGTTTTTATATTTTCATCTCTAATAACGGAAGGCCAAACGAATTTGACCCATTAGTAATTTTGCTCACAAAGAAATAAATGATCTGCTCCATAGTTTAATGTAAAGGAAGCAAAGATGCTTGTTGATAGAAGTGTCCTTATATTCTATATTTATCTTCAAAACAGCATGAACATGCATCATAATTAAGAGATTTAATATGAGCATTATAAAGTCTTTTTACCTTCAAGCAAAGGAAAACGGTAGTCTTCAATAAATCACAGTGCATTGTGTTACACAAATAAAAAAGCCAGAGGTCCAAAGAAAGCTAAATAAATCTCTGGCAATGCTATTGGGCAAACATGAGTAATGAAATGACTTATAAGGTGTTTTGGGGAAGGAGGTGGGACTTTCAGCAAACAAGCATAGCTAATTAACTGTATATCACCCATAAACTTCTTTGATTCTTCAGCACTTTCATTGTACTGTGTGAAAGTTAAGTTTGCCTCAGAAAAACAACTATATAAATGACATCTTCTTGTTCAACATAACCATTCTTTTTATATATTCAGACATGAATTTGCCTACATTAATGACAACATATATTTTGTTTACTACTTTTAACTCATATTGGCACTGCAGAGCCAAGACAAAGAAGAAAGGGAGAGAGAGGTTCTGTTTCTTCTTATGCATCATTAAATGACTTGCTAATTTTCAATTGATTATATCTGTTTACAGCTATCAGTGAAGGCTCAATTAGGTCTGAATCTTTATTATGTGATTAAATTAGCTACAAAATGATGGGGTGTAAATTAGCAGTCACCACTGAAGAGAGAGATCTTGGAGTCGTGGATAGTTCTCTGAAAACATCTGCTCAGTGTACAACAGCAGTCAAAAAGTTAACAGAATGTTAGAAATCATTTGGAAAGTGATATATAAGTCAGAAAATATCATAATACCACCATATAAATCAATGGCATGCCCACACCTTGAATACTGCCTGCAGTGCTGGTTGCCCCATCTCCAAAAAAATAGATTAGCATTGGAAAACTTATAGAGAAGGGCAACAGAGTGGGACTGTTCTTTTTAGACAAGAGATGACTAAGGGAGGATATGCTAGAGGTCTATAAAATCATGAATAGTGTAGAGAAATGAATTGGGAAGTGTTATTTACCCCTTCAGATAACTCAAGAAGTAGGCATCACCCAACAAAATTAATAAACAGTAGGTTTAAAACAAACAAAATTGAGTATTTCTTCACATAATGCACAGTTAGCTTGTAGAACTTGTTGCTAAAGGATATAGTGAAGCCCAGAAGTATAACTGGGTTAAAAAAAGAATTAGATAAGTTCATGGAGCATAGGTCCATCAATGGCTATTAGCTAAGATGGTCAGTGATGCAACCCTGTGCTCTGGTTGTCCCTAAACCTGTGACTGCCAGAAGCTGGGACTGGAAGACAGGGGATGGATCACTCAATAATTGCTCTGTTCTTTTCATTCCTTATAAAGCATCTGGCACTGGCCACAGTTGGAAGACAGGATACTGAGACAGATGGACCATTGGTCTGACCCAGGATGGTCATTTTTTATGTTCTTATCTGATATGTGAGAAGGGGAAAAATTCTATTTTGACTCTCAGATCCCTATTGAGTTTGCAGAATTAGCTGTTCTAAACCTCTTCCTCCTATCTTTACACTTGTAAACTGAACACATCTGATGTTGAAATTATTGAGACAGTAAATATGGAACTTCACAATGCCATATTTTAGTCACAGAGCAGAACTGCACTTCAAACATAGCTATATGTATTTTGTTGTAGCTAATAAATATCAGTTGAATGGAATTTTGCTCATTTCTATCAGGGCCAAACTTTGCCTTTCAACTAGAAATTGCAATGGGAAAATGGGAAAACTACAACCAATAAGCAGATCAGCAGTAATGTGCTAAAAGGGTCTGAAAGGAATGCAGACAGATTTGTTTCCCGCTAAATAGGGCAGTTATGCATTAAGGTGCCACCTAGGCTTTCCCCTGGCCCACATTTCATAAAAGGAACACAATAACAATTTTCCACATAAAGTATATCTTTTTGACATTTAGTTCCAACAGAAAAGACATTAATTTCTCTGAAGGAAGTATGAACATTTCTCACCCTGGGTCACTTTGGATCTGATTCATGTGTCTTTCTAGGAGACTTTCTTTTTCTTCTTTAAAAACAAACAAACAAACAAACAAACAAAAACTTTTAATTCCATTAATCATTCCAGATACAGTAAATCTGAAACAGTGAGTCCCTTCTCTGAGTGGCATTTTCAGCCCTGTCCAACCTGTCCATTTAAATTATTTATCATTGAATTAATTATCTTAAGTTTTACCTTCTGGGGCAGACAGAGGCTTTTAGTCTTTCCCTTCTAAAAACACTTTAGTGTTTTTCCCACCAAGAGTTCTTTGAGAGCCTAATTCAACACCTATCAAGGTCTCTTCCCTGTGAGGAGTCAGAGATGATGATCCTAGCAGCAGCACTTAGAAGGGATTTGAGGGAGACACTGTTGTGGCATTGAGGCCAGAGAAGGGGCGATTACGGTAGTTAAGGGGCAAGATGATCAGGGCTTGCACAAGACTTTGGCAGAGAGGAATTATGGGCTCTTAGAGATGTTTAGGAAGAAGCAAGATCTAGACGTGGCTTGGCTGTGTGGGTCAAAGTAGAAGGCCAAGCCAAACATGAAGTCAAGATTATAGTCTTGAGTTACCGGGCGTGTGGTTGTGTTGTCCACCATGGAAAAATTGGGAGAGAAACGAATTCAGTCTTGAACTGAAGCCTGTGTTATGCTGCTCTTTCTTGCACACCAGAGTGGCAGTTTTTCCAAAGCTCTATGTAGTGAATGAGCACTGTTGGGGTGTGTGAGGAAGCTGAATGTTGACTGATTTGTGATCACTTTGATTTATTAGCATTTGCCATGAGATGATCGGCCTCTTTGTTGGGTAGAGTTTTCAAAGTATAAATGTTGGAATTTGGCAGGCTTCAGGCAAGTTTGAGGAAGTGTTACTTGTTGCCTTGAAAAGTCTTTTAGGAAGCTGCTGCAAGTTCTTGCATTCCTTACATACGCATCCAACTCAGGATCCAGATCAGGGTATGGGCAGCTGTGTGATGGGTGAGCACTGCCTGTAAGAAATGTAAGGTGAAGAGTTAGGATAGGAGGTTTTGAGCTGTCCTGTCAGAGGCATTAGCTGTGTGAATGTTAAAGCCCTGCAAGGTGATAAATTCAGTGAACGTCATCGCCACGTCAGGCAATTTCTCCATCACCTCCCCTGCGAGCATTTGATGTTTGGAAGTTAATAGATTAGTAGTATGCCTAGGTTAGTCTTGTCTCTGGGCAAGAGTAAGTGGATGCCCTCAAAGGATTTTGATTTGAATGTCCTTTTCTTGATCTTGAGCCTGTAAGGGAAATGAATGACTATGCTCCATCTCCAGATTTGTCCTCTCTAGGTCTGGCTGTGTAGTGAATGATGTATCCTGGGTGGGGAGGGCAAAGCCAGGTGAGGTAGCAGTTGTCTACCGTGTCAACCAGACAGATTTCTGTGGTGCAGACCTAGCTGGTTGACTCATTGGCAGTGAGAATGAATGGCCTATTGACTGCAGATTTTGCACTGAACTGCATGAGGCCAAGTGTTTGTTTGGGGGGCCAGTATACCATACCTATTTTGTGATTGCACCTGATTGAATGAAGCTTTCTGGTAACCTTCTGTCCAGATACTGGCCGGTATTCCTGTTTACTTCTTTCTGTTATGACTCGTCTTGGGAAAGATGTAGGTGGGGGGGTTAGTGTACTTGGTAGCGATGGCAATCTCTGTGTGTCGCACGCCTAGAGAGTGGTGTCAGCCTCCAAGGGGGGGACTGAGCTAAGGTGAGCTCTTGGTGAAGATTTGTAATTGCTCCAGATGCCCTAGGCGTGGCAGGTATGCTTACACCCCATCTGGGCACATTGCCGATTTTGATGTTGGAAGGGGTGAAACTCTGCTCCAGAGCAAATGGGAAAGGCCCTCCTGGGGGGTGGGAGAAAGGGTTGGTGGAGGGATGTGTGTTTTTGTTTGTTTGTTTTGTTTTTTTAAGTAGTGATGTTGCTTGTTTGTGTTGGTCATAATCCTTTCCTTTGTGCTGTTACTGGCAGGAGGAAGTGAGGGGAGAGACTAAATTAATGACAAGCTAAAGGTCTAAATATCAACCTCTTACTCCCTGTGCCCAAGTCAAGATGAAAATGACTAAACACGCTTATTTCTGCTACCTTTTTTGAACTTGAGCAGTTTGTCAGTTCTGTTGCCCATATCTGAATGAGGTTTATCTCTTCAAGTGAATTTAGTGTTCATGAAAGGTGATGGATTGACAGCCCTAGCAACTGAAGCCTTCTCTTTATTCACAGGAAAAGCACAGCACAGGCAAGCAGTAGTCAAAGCTAGCCCAAATGACCTTGCTAATGGGCCTCTGCCCTGACCTGGAGGGGACACAGTCTCTGTGCCTACTTATTCCTTTGTCTTGCTGAAACTGCCAACAAAGATGCATTAAGTGCCAGTTGTGATGAGGGATTTGTCTGCTAAAATCTGTACTAAGACCAGCAATCAATTTAATAAAAGTTCCTGAACAGCCATCAGATGATGATAACTTATCAGTTGGATTTCTGCTGGTGACTCAGAGAGAAAAAAGGATCCAAGTATCATGCAGTAGCCAAAGACTGGGGTGGAAGATTAATAGTGGAAAGCTTCCACAGGAAAGTTTGAGATATTTTCATACATCAGTAAGCAGTAATATTGATAAAACCAATTCACCTTTCAAATACAATGTTCAGTAACCTGTTGTATACTCAAACTTTTGTGCCTTCATATCTAATCTTAGTACTAAATCTGTGCATCTGTCTTTCTGTAGACGACTTTGCAGAAGAGGAGGAGGTGCAGTCCTTCGGTTACAAGAGATTTGGTAAGTAGCAACAAATCTCTCACTTTGCTCTTTCTTATTACTCACATGAAGTCAAACAGGTCTTACAAAAACCTTTACTGGTAGCGATAGGTGCTACAAACCAGGGGGTGCAACAGCACCCCTAGTTTGAAGTGGTTTCCATCACATAAAGGGTTAGCAATTTGGTTCAGTGGCTCTCAGCACTCCCACTATTAAAATTGTTCCGGCACCACTGCTGGTAGCAGTAAGACAAAGTATGGGAACAAGCTCATCACGGGGCTGATGCCGATGTGCAAAGGAAATATACAGTATAGGACCAGAAACAAGTGTTCTGTTTAGACCTGGTAAATCTCTTTGGTAAGTATATCCTTCAGAAATAGTCTTGAGCTAACTGTCCAGAGCTACTTAAGTAAATAAATATTTTCTTTCTTTGATGTTACCTGTTTTAGTGTTTGCTTGTTTACATAACTGTTTCATATGAAGTTTGCACTTCAGCAGAAGTGAATCTCTGCTGGCAGTTAAGAAAAAGGTACAGTATCATGCATCGTGGATTTCTCCTTGTCAATTATACTATCCTTAGGTCTGTAAATGACTAGTTACTTCTCAGGAATAGGACAATGGGAACTATTATGGGCTCTTGGAAGACATGGTGACAATTTAGCCAGAAACCCTCCCCCCCCACCCTCTGCATTTCTCTTTAAAAAAACAACAACAAAACAAATGCCATGAGAACAAGGCAGAAATAAATGTACATGGAGAGTGCTCATTCAAAGTTTAAAAACAAGTCTTAATAACAATTTCTCATCACCACCTTATCGTTTACTTCTGATGTAATGTGGTACAACTTGAAATTTTATGAATTGCTACTTAAACAACAATGCTATTGAGTGTTCTTTACTAACCTAACGATATCAGTTGTCTCACTTTGATCTTTGTTCATTATAAATGACTGTTGTGTGGCCCTGATCCCCAATGCACACAACTCTGAATGAGGGCTAGTAATCACTGAGACTGTTCCCTGTTCTCAAGGGAGTTTTTCCCACCTCGGCAACTACCTTTTGGAGGCATTCCATGGCCACCCAAGGGCAAGAGCAATCAGACTCCACTCTGTGGTTGCCATTGGGATCACAGGAATGATCGTGTCAGAACACTGAGCCCAGTGCATCTAAATTCAGGGAAAGCTCTGTCCAAGATGACTGATAGTGAGATTTCTTAAGGGGCACATATAGAGATGTCTTCTTGTTCGGAAGCTGTCAGTAGGGAGAAAAGGCACAAGTGACTGTTTTGTCTAAAAACTCACATTATTTCCCTCTCTTACCTCAAGTAAATGATGATGGGGAGTTGTGGGGCAGGAAGGGTCCACTCTTCGCTAATACCCACAATATGGAGCAAGAGCCCCTTCACTGCCCCTGGTTAACACACAGATGGAAAAGGATAATGGATGTATATAAATTCCTACTGCCTCAAAAGGAGTGGAGAGAAGAACATTTGTAGCATAAGGAACTGCAATGTTTGGGAGGTGGGGATTTTATTTGCATCACCTCTTCTTCCCCTGAGCTCCTCCACAACTCACCATAGGACCAGCATCTGTGGCTTGGAAAGTTCATAAGGCTGCACGTATTATTTATTTTATTTATGTATTTTCGCTGGATCAGGCCCTGGAATAGCAAAGGATTCTTGGGAAATAATGAGAGAGTGAAACCACACTTCTCTCCCCTCTAATGAAAAAGGCTGTAATTCAAAATGGAATGTAAAAGTAGTCGCCCTCTGGGTTGCATGTTTGCTATGCAATGCTCATCAGTGTGGTTTTGCAATGAATGACTAAATGTTTTAGTGTGAAGTTGTCCTGTCTGTGTAACAACCCACTTGTGTGATAACAGGTATTAACGTGTTAAACGTTTTCCTTTTTCCCCCCTTTACCCTGGATGGTGTGCCACTAACAAAATTTCGCCTCTTAAAAATGTCATAAAGCTCATCTGAATATTTCTAGAACAGCTTTTATTACTGCTCAGGGAGAAAGGAGGAAGCAGTATGATATTGGTAGTAGGAAGAGATTTCTCATTCTCTTGCTCTGAATGGAACAAGAGGGAGAGAGATTAGTTCCATTTCTAGAAAATAACCTTAACCTCTCCTTAGTCAAAACAAAATTCCAGAGCTTTTTCTACTCTCATCAGTATTTGAAATAACCCCTTAAACCAGTCTTTGATTTGGAAGAGCCATGTATAAAGAAGGGCCAGGAAGCTTCTTTGTGCATACTCAGTATTCACATTGCAGTGGGAATATTATAAATCTGTAATATCCTGTTCAAAAATCCATTCTCAGCCATCCATGTTATTTTTTTGGATACAAATTGTCAAAAAGAGTTGCCAAAATTGACCCCACACTGTTTGTGTATGCCCATTTGTACATGCCGTCTTTGCATGTGCCAACAGTTGTTTGTACAACTATCTGTCTTCGGTGTATAAACACATGTACAACTACTATTCCGGGGGGCATTATGCACCCAAAACCAAAAAAATTAGGTGCACAATAATTAAAAATTCTTCAAAATTCTGCAAATTTTATTTGTCAAAATAACAATACATAATCACACCAGTTTCAATTATTTTTGGTAATTTATTTAAAAATACCTGTCAGCAAGTATGTCTGTAAGAATACAGACACACACACACACAAAATTTTCCCCAAGAATAGAGAGCTAAAGAAATCCCTATGACAGCCCAGTTCCTGTTTCTCTGCCCCCCACCCCCAGAGCCTAGCTGGGGGGGCCAGACACCCACAACCACTCTCCCCCCTTCCCCCCCAAACCCAGCCACTGTGCCTCCCCATAGCCCAGTTGCGGGGGCCCCCTGGCCCAGATACCCACACACCATCCCCCAAGCCCAGGCATGAGGCCCCCCGGCCCAGAAACCCGCACCCTCCTCCCATGTGAGCTCAGCTGCGGGACTCCCATCTCCAGATT